TTAATAAAAATAAAAAGTAGTGAGTAAAACACTAAAATATAACACATTGATAGTAATAAGTAATGAAGATAAAATAATTAGTATTTAATTTTTGTTTAAGACATTTTGGGCGGGGGATTCCMCTCTTTCCTCTAATGGATACACCACTGCATATAGACTGTGTACGATTTTAATATTTTCAATTGTTAATATTTCTAATGAATTAAGTAACTTAGAAAAATTAAAACTGTAGTTTATTCAGATAGGTTTTGCACACGAAAGATACTCAATAATCTCCTATTATTGCCTTTGGTTACAGCCAAAGTTTCATTAAACAGCTCAATAACATTTATTGTATGTGTATTGTGTACACTTTATTTATAAACATGCACGTATACGGTAAACGGACAAATGGTTTCAATTTTGTTTTTTAACCATGTGGCGCATAATTAAAAACCAATCAAAACAAAGCAATTTTCGAAAATGATATTAGAGTTTTTCCTATGAAAAATATTATTGAAGTATAAAAAAGTATTATTTAAGAATTGAAGTTCGTACCCAATATTATTGTATGCTAAAACTTAGTTAACACTGGAGTAATAATGGGCATACAGTTTATTAAGAGAGATAGTGATTGAGCTAAATTAAAATATTATATTATCACCAAGTATAGCAGGTAAAGGCAGGTTTAGGACAACTGGAAATTCCTGATGATGCTATTTTTTGGGGGGAAATTCCCTTGAATACAACAAAATATAATATAACAACTAAGTGTGCTCTCTATAGAGAGACAATAAATCTGTATTAGTCGACTACTGGTTGAGACCCTTTTAAAAGGTTTTTAGATTTTGAACCAATCGAGGGAATCTAAAAACAAAAACATACAAAAAGGTAATTCATACAAATTTTTTGTTGATTGTTCTTTGTTTTCATASCATCAGGAATTCAAATAAAGTATTCATAAGACATTTACAGGATGAAACAGAATAATTTGACAAATTAAAAATGAAAATGATATAAATTCAGAA